CTTGGTTGATTGTCATTATATGCCATTTACTTTCTCTCACTGACAACTAGAAGTTGATACCCAGTGAAGAAACACCATCCATAACTGCTTACATAGCTAATCAAGCATATATCTGATCAAGATTTGAACAAAGACCTATTTTAATTCAGAGCCTTTAGTTTTCTAAGTCAGGCTTTATAAACTTTTTCTAAAATACAGGCCAAATGGTCTCTGTTGCAAATACTTGACTCAGCCATTGTAATACAAACACAGCTACAGACAATATGTGACTGACTGAGTGTGGTTGTGTTCCAATAAAACTTTATTTACAAAATTAGGTAGACAGTCTGTAGTTTGCTGACCCCTGCAAGTTGTCACTAAAATAACTAAAAAGGCAAAAATATTCATCAGTATTTGTATTCCACCACCCAAATTGAGAAAGATTTGAGAGAGAACTGTGCATGTTGGTATTTGAGATGCTCGTCTAATACAACAGAGAACTAATTATGCATGCCTGGCTTCTCTTAAGCCTGGATACAAGGAAATGAGACCTCACAGAATAGGCTCTTCAGAGAATCTTCTAACCTGGAATGGAAACACTGGTTCCTCATTTTATAGATAAAAAGGACTTGATGATTCGATATGGTAACATAAGCCCATAGAGCAGAAGGCATCGGGGCAGGCAGGACCCCAGGAGAAGGGCCTCATTCAAGTCGTACAATGAAGGTGGTCAGCTCCCCTGTGTTAAACGGAGATGATATTAAACATCAAAAATCTGTGCAATTGCAAAAAGTTTTTTTTAATGTAAGCTCCCTTCTAAATGTAAAGTTTGATTAATAATTTATGATCAAGATAAACAATCTCAATTAGAGGCAACTAGACCCACACCATCTTATAAGAAAGGATCCCTAAGATAGGCAACAATCTTGCCTCAGACATGCAAACCATAGAAACATCAAAAGTAGTCATTTAACGTTAGTGAATCAGAAGTCACAAAAGGTAGCTCTTTCTTAAGAGGAGTAGGCCAAGTCATATTCTCTCCATGTTTGCAATAGAAGCAACACAAAAATGGAGATTTGAAGTCTCTCTCTCTCTCTCTCTCTCTCTCTCTCTCTCTCTCTCTCAGAAAAAAGTATGCGACTATTAGGAAAAGCAAAGGGTATGATGAGGAGTGCTCTATCAATTTTTAAAAGTCAAAGCCAAGGTTTTCCTTATCTCTTCCTATTCTCTCTCTCCTTCATAAGATGTATTTGAAAGTGCTTGGTAAACCATTAGGCCCTATAAACAATGTAAGTGGCATTACAAGTATTATTGGCATTATTGTTATTTTTACATTGATCAACCAAACTACCACCAGGCTGACAACTAATTTTTGGCACTCAATGCTTCCACAGCCCAGCTAGCATAATGGAAAGCACAGTTGTTAGAAACATAGCCATTCATATTTGACATTAACTTCAGAAAACAGATGTTCAATAAAAGGTTGTTAATTTAATAAATAGAAGAATAAATAGTAGTTACTCCATGCACATCAGTTCTGATTATTAGTTGATTGCCTTTTATTTTTTCCTCTTCTATTTTAGTAGGTCAATACCCCATAAATGCCCCCCTTCCTCTTTCTGTTCTAGCTCTCCACAGTATCAGATGCTGGAGTAAAAAACAACACTTTATATTACTGTTAGTTATAGGCATAAACTCTCACTGAAAAAGTGATCAACAGGGAAAGAAGTCAACCTGTGTGTGTGTGTGTGTGTGTGTGTGTGTGTGTGTGTGTGTAGTGGAGTAGGGGGGTGGTGCTGGGACAGATGGACTAGTAAAGCCAGGAAAGATGATACAGACAATGGAGAAGGTAGGGGTGGTATTAAAGTTTCCAAAGACCTGGGGATCTGGCAAAGATCCTTCCTGCAGTTCTGGGCAGACAGTAAAGTACTAGGCTTGATTTTACAATGTGTATGCTCCTGCGACATATTCAGCTATACAAAACTTCTAAAAACTAGACTGATAAAACAGAAACAACTCAGAAAAATTTTAATTCATAAAAGCATAGCTAAAAGCAATCAAAGTCTTACGTTAGTTGTTAAGTATTCTTCTTAGCATGCAAACAAGAAAGTACCCGTTCTCTCTACCTCAAAGTAGTCCATTCACTCCTTCGTGTTGGTGCTGTTATCACACTTTCTTGACTAATGCAGTCTTATTTGTTTGTTTAATATATTCTTTAATAAGAAATCACTTTTAACGCTGAGGTCTAGCTTGCTTTATTGGGAAAATAAAAATAGACATATTCCAAAGATAGTATTGCCATTGATCATTAGTCTAAAATGGGTAGTGGACCTTCAGGCTTATTTTCAAAACTGAATGTAATTGCCTGAAAGTCAATACATACAAACAGGGAGGTTAGCCCTTTCAGCATCCTTGGAGATTGAACTTTAATTTTGGAGCACTTTCGCTGGACCCTTAACAAACAAAGGCAGTAACTTTCCCCCCTAATTATCTCCTTCATTCCCCTTTTATTAAAACAAAACAAAAAAGTAAAATAGTTTTAGGAGAAAGAGAATGGTGAATAAGTACAATAATACAAGACCCCAGTGCAAAGTTTCCTAGATGCATGCTACTTGAAATTCTCAGTAGCGACTTTATGTTGGTCCCAAAATCACATTTTAAAATCCTCCCGCAATAGCCTTCACTAAAGATGTATTTGTTGAACAAGACAAAAATGATTGAGGATCCACCTAAGTTCGTCTTGTACCATTTTCTGACACATTGTTGTTTCCTATGTGTTATTAAACAAGCCCTCTAGCATAGTCATTTTTAGCTACTAATTACCCTTTTAGAGATTCCTAGTGATTGTGGTATCACTCTTCTAAAGGACTAATGGTCCGTTCTACCTTATTCATTCTTCTGCTTAAAGATGCTAATATAATTTTCCTCACTTGTGAGCATAAGTGATTTTTAAAAAGACAAAAACCTTCCCATTCATCTTATTTTCCTTTTAAGTAAAACAGCATTCGCCATACCCTCGGCTACCAAAGAGCAGCTTCTGCCCCGCGTTAAAAAGGCTGCTTGCCCACGCGCTTGCCTCAAAAATTTTAGTCTCACCAATGGGCTAAGAAGGAAAGCTGCTGGGAACGTTCACAGATACCTGGTTTTACAAGGTTTTGTGAAAAGAGGTCGCCTTTAGATGAGGACTGCTCAGTGTTTACGAGGGTTGTTTGTCAAGCCCCAAATAAGATGCCTCCTCCCCACAAATTAAAGAATCGAGTTACAATCCATTATTTCATTTCTGATTGTTTTTCTTTGTAATAAGTGGGAAAGCGGATACTGGATAAAAGTCTCCCCTGAGTGAAATGACTCCACATTAAAGACTTCAATTAGCTATAAATCAGTTGTCTTTCCTACTGAGGGAGAACAAGAGAAAAAAGAGCGCGGGGGCAGTGAGAGGGAAAGAGAGCTGGAAGAGTTTCCAAGTGAAATTCGGAGATACCTACTCACTGAATACCTAAAACTTCTTTCAGGGCTGTGAGGAGAATCTGATCCAAAGTGAGACGGAAATCAAACCCTCCCAAAGCTGAGGATCAGGTCCTCTCTCAGAGGTAGATCTTACATCTTAATAATTCTAAAATGAGGCTGAAGAGGTTAGAGACCCTCCTAAAACAAAACTTGATGCTCCAGGCTTTCCCCCGCGCCCCCCTCCCTTGCTCCTGAACCCAGAGATGTGCAGAACATTGACACTCTAGTGATGCAAATGATGCCTAAATGGCTGTAACCATTAACGACCTCTCATTAAAACGGCTTTCAAAAATTTGTCACACCACCTAAAAATAAATAAATAAATAAATAAATAAATAAATAAATTAAATTTAAAAAACTAGCAGGTACATCAAATTCATCTAAATTGGCGCTCAAAACAGAAACCACCCTGATTTGTAACCTAAAACTCAACGCAAGTAAAATGTTCAGTATTCCGATGTTGATTTTTGTATTTCTTTCAACTGTTAAGTCAGAACCAAACAATTTACTTCTCGACAAAACTTAGTTTATCGTGCTATAAGCACGATGGAAAACAACCTTTAACCATATTGTGTATGCTCAGTGTGTGTTTAAGTTAATCAGGAGGTTTAGGGCAGACATCAAATGAAAGAAAGAGAACAATCAAACAAGAGAACTGTAAAATGAACTCCAAGAAACAGGACTTTAAATCCCATCCCTCCCTCCCAATCCTATAACGCTATAATTCCCCCATATGCGTAATTAATCATTTTTTTCTTTGCCGAGTTTTGTTTTGTTTTTTAAAAGAAAGCAAATTCCATGTATACTAGGGAGCGAATAGCATATTCTTTTTTTAATGGGGTGCAACAAAAAAACATTCGTGTTTGGCAAACCCGAGATGTCAGAGTTCGTTAGAAAGAGTAATTTTTTTTTCAGTTCCAAAACGAGCCTGTTGATTTATACAAATTTAAAGACTTCCCAAGTTTTCCAGGGAAACTGCCGCCGCCGCCAACATTCGAGCGCGACGCTGACAGCGGGTCCCCTGCGCTTGGCAGCCGGGTTCCCACGCGCCCCGTGCGGGCCGCCGGCGCCCGCGCCCCTCCCGCCGCCGGGCCCCCAGGACCTGCGGGGCGGGCGGGCGGCCGAGCGGCCCTCGACGGCGGCGGGGGACCCCGAAGCCACAGCCCCTCTGCCCCGTCGGAGGAGCCCACGGCTGCCGGCGCCTTCCCCGAAGCGGTCGCGACCCCGAATCGGAGGGAAGGCGGCAGCGGGTGCGGTTTGGGCAAAAGCCTTTGACGGCGAGCCCTCTGCGCCGCGGTTCCCGGGGTGCTCAGCCTCCCGAAGTGTCCCTAGGCTCCGCGGGATTTCGGCAACTCCCACCCCAAGCCCGCCGGGGCGCCCCTCTGCTGCCCGGGAGGATGGACAAGCTGGCCCCGGCGACCCGGCCCCCAGCCCCCGCCCCGCGCCCCCTAACAGATCCCGCAGGACGCGCGGGGCAGGCAGGTTGGAGAGCGGCGCGTGGCCGGCCCGCGTACCTTGGTGAACTTGATCTCCAGGTTGGGCGTGGGCGATGGCAGGAGGTGCAGGGACGCCATGAGCGCGGCGGGGTCGGCCTTCACCTCGCCGGGCATCTCGATCTTGCTGGAGGTCATGGTGCGTGTCTGTCGCCCGGCGGCGCGGCGTGGCGGTGCGGGCTGCGGGCGGGCTGTGCGAGGGGCGGCGGGCGCTCCCTGTTTATAGGCAGGTGTCAAGCGGGGGCGCTTCTTATTGGACGTGAGGGCCGGAGCGCGGGGGCTGGTCCTTAGTACCTAGGACTTGGGGCGCAGAGATTTACATACAGCCCGCCGCCCGCCGCCCGCCGCCAGCGCCCACGGTCAAGGGCGTCCGCGCCCCACCCTCCCCCGCCGCCCCCGCGCGCGCACACGCCGCCCCCCTCGACGGCGGAGCGCGGACCGGCCCGGGGCTCCGCGGGCTCGGGGAGCAGCGGGCTGGCCTCACTCTGGGACTATCACCTTGGCTGAGGGCGAGGGTGGGTCGTGGCCCCAGAAAGTGAGTGAGAGGGGGGTGCACGGGGTCGGCGGGATCAGCCCGGGGACGTAGCTACAGGGGTGCGGAGAACCCCTCTCACCCCAGTGCCGGGAGCGGGGACCCCTCCAAATACCGGGGCTCCTTTCCTCCCCGGGGGCCAGGGAAGGGGTGCCCTCAGCCCTCCTTCCCAGGGCACGGGCGCGGGGACCTGCGCAGCGAACCCCGCACACCTCACTCTCGCAACCGAGCCCCAGGTTCGCCTTGGCCGAAGGGTCGGGGCTGGTGAGGATGAGTCGAGTTCCTCGCCCCACACTCAAGGAGAGTGTCCCCCGCGCGAGCCAGGCGCCTCCGCGGGCCCCGAGCTGGCTTCTCCCGCCCAGCTGCTGCCCTCTGCCGGCCGGGACTGCCAGGCTGTCCTGGGGAGTCGGGCTTTGGACCTCAAAAGCTTCTCCTCCGGGTAGCAAGTTTCATTTGCCCCTCTCATCTTTCTTCTGGGATGCCTCCTTCCAGCTCTTACATTTCTCGCCCGAAAACACACAGACGTACACTTGTGTTGCTTCTATTGTTCTTCACGCTAAAAGCTATCATCCCGCTGGACATGAGGCCCCTCACTTAACTACCCCCTTGGGCTTGAGCTTCCATATTTTAAGTGTTTCCGTAGCTCCAGTGGGCCTTCTTCTCGTCTGTGGGAGCCTAAAGGTCAGCATGTAAGTGTCCATCTGTCAAGAGCCCAGCGATCCCATACCAGAATGGACTTAGGGCTCAGTGGACTAAATCTGGGTCCAAATGAAAAGATCTCTATAGGGCACTTCCCTCCTCCCATTATAATCCTAACAGGATTATATATCCTACTGATTATATCCTACTGAGTCTTATCTAAAATGCCTTTTTCAAAGCCCCAAGAACCCTATTTCTTTGGGGGTGTTAAATGTCAGCCAGACAAGATCTTGCCTTAAATATTTTCAGTACCTAAACCTGCCTAATGTTCAGTGCTTGGCTGCTAAACAGTAGAAATAGACAAAAATATTTCATTTTAGTATTAGGTCTATAGACATAGCTTTCAGCTGGAAGTATATACCCACGGGTACCTGAGTGAATTATTTTCATAGAGAAAATAGGGACCTTAGCTTTGGTAGTTGAGAGATCTCAATTCACACAGGATCTCTATACCCAAAAATCATGCTTTAATAGCAGTATATGTTCCTGAGATACAATTTTAGAGGGTTAGGGATACAACTGAGAAATACAAGAATATGGTCTTAGCCGAAACCAGTTTGGCTCAGCGGTAGAGCGTCGGCCTGCGGACTGAGGGTTCCCGGGTTCGATTCCCATCAAGGGCATGTACCTTGGTTGCGGGCACATCCCCGGTAGGGGGTGTGCAAGAGGCAGCTGGTCAATGTTTCTCTCTCATCGACGTTTCTAGCTCTCTATCCCTCTCTCCTCCTCTCTGTAAAAACTCAATAAAATATATTAAAAAAATAAAAAAAGAATATGGTCTTAGAATTTCCAATGCAAGGAAAGATGCTTGGAGTCTGGGACAGCCTTTCCTGTCAGTGAGCTTGAAACCCTTCCCCGCATAGATCCCTGACTATGAAAGCTTGTGGGGGGAAAAGTTACAAAAGAACATCAGCAGCCCGTTCTGGACTCCCACGCACAGAGAATGCTAACCTTTCAACTAGGCCTTTGGGGAGAAGTGAGGTCTCCACAGGGAGGTAAGAATAAGCAGAAGGGTCCAGAGAGCAAAGGCATAGAGATGTGAGGATATTTTTTAGGAAACATCAATGTGGCTGGAGGAGCAGCAGACGAGGAGGGCAAGACAGTTGATTCAAGGTTGTAGGGACTTTTAATTCTTGAGACACGGAGGCATCATCAAAAGGTTCCAAGGAGAAAAGGGAGATCTGTAAAAATTAAACTGATAAATGAATAGTGTCAGGAAAGACTATCACAAATGAAAAGCCATTGATTTATATATATTTTTTCTCTCTCAAAGCATAAGATGGGGTTGTTTGTCCGTGACCCACTTCTTGCTTGCTGACTCCAGTTCTATCGTCATGTCTGGGAAAATCTCTCCCAGAGAAGAAACAGTGTGATGAAATGATGCGCATTTGTTACACAGTGAGGCAGAGCCAATGAAGAGATCCTCTTCTTCTTCAGGCGGGAAGGGAGGATCTCTTGGCTTTCGTAAACATCTCCAGAAGACCCAGTACAGATGGCACACTAGTTTGAATTGTTCCCTGATGGCTACTTTTGTGTGAGATTTGCTCTCCAACTAGATAGTCAAGTGATCAGCCCAGGAACTGTGGCTTCTATTCCTCTTGTTCCTTCCCTCAATTCCTACAGCAGCATGGGGCACACAGTAACTATTATATTTGATAAAAATATTTGTTGGCAGGACAACTCTGGTAAGGGAAGGAGTGTTGGGTCTGGGCAGAGGGTAGGGGGGTGTGCAGGAGGCAGGGGATTGATATTTCACTCTCACATCAATGTTTCTCTGTCTCCCTCTCCCTCTTTTGCTCTAAAAGTTTAAAAAAAAATCAATAAAAAGTATTAGTAGCCCTGTGCACAAATCTGTGTGCCAGTAGCTTGCTGTTGCCCTCCTATAGCTCTCCGTCCGCTGCCCCGCTCTCCTGTAGCTCCCTCCAACCCCCCACCCCCTAAAGCTCTCTGCCCCACCCTCCTGCTGATCTGTGATCCGGTCATTACACAGCCCAGTCACTATGCTTAACGGCATAATGAGCATTTGCATATTACATCATTATTATATAGGATATATTCTAGAAGCCCAGTGCACGAAATTTGTGCATGGTAGGGGGAGGATCCCCTCAGCCCAGCCTGCACCCTCTCCAATCTGGGAACCCTCAAGGGTTGTTTGACTGCCGATTTAGGCCCTATCACCCCAGGATTTGGCCTAAACTGGCAGTCAGACATCCATCTCACAATCTGGGACCGCTGCCTCCTAACTGCTCACCTGCCTGCCTGCCTGATCACCCCCAACTGCCCTTCTCACCCCCTCCTGCTGGCCTGGTCACCCCTAACTGCCCCCCCCCCCGTTGCTGGCCTGGTCATCTCTCACTGCTCCCTCCTGCTGACCTGGTTGCCCAACGCAGCCTGCTGTTCAGTTGTTTGGTCGTCCCTCGCTAACGCCTGGTTATCCCACGCAGCCTACTGTCTGGTCATTACTGTGAAGGCATCCAAATCAATTTGCATATTACTCTTTTATTAGTATAGAGATATATTTTGCCAAGCTCTAATTCAATATGAGACCGTATATGTCTTCTTGGTTTTTATTCATAGGATTTGTTCTTCTGTTACTTACGTTTAAGGATCCTTAACATCTGACATTCTCATTCTTCCTCCCTCTTCTTTCTTTTTTTTTAATTTTATTTTTTTAATCAATCTTTATTGTTCATATTATCCTCTTCTTTCTTTTATCTTATTTTATTATCTTCTCACTTCCTCTACAGATTTCAAGATGGTTTAAGTCTTCTCCACAACTACCTTCAGGTTGCTAAGATTTTTGAATTCCAGTCTTTTCCCTGATTTTGTTAAGAAACATTTCCCCGCCCTTATAATATTTCCTTCTTCCAGTATCCCCCATCTATAATTATTTATTGTTTAAGATAGATAGTGTTTAAAACCTTCTGTGCAAGAGAATGTAAACTACAGCATGCTCTATTTATTTCCTTGTGAAAACAGTTTATTAGGCATGGCAGAGCTAATCTCGTGGACTAGTAGAGGAGAAAAATAAATTCTTGCCTCATATTTCCTCACTACAATCATAGGATGAAAAAGCATCAATTTTATGTGAAGTTTGGCTTTATGAAACCATAGCAATTTAGGCTTCTTTTTAGTTTTCACTTAGGGAAGGTAAGTGTTTCTTATTTGAGAAACATGCTTTAGAAATCAATGAGGTCCCAGCCAGTGTGGCTCAGTGGTTGAGCATCAAACTTGGAACCAGGAGGTCACGGGTCAATTCCTGGTCAGGGCACACGCCCAGGTTGCGGGACTTGATCCCCAATAGGGAGCATGCAGGAGGCAGCCAATCAATTATTCTCTCTCATCATTGATGTTTCTATCTCTCCCTATCTCTTCCTCTCTCTGAAATCAATAAAACAAAACAAACAAAAAAAACCACCATATTGTAAATAAAGAAGAATCAATTAGAGCAACTGAATGGAATATCAAGACTCCTCCTAAAGAAGGAATACTTTTGGTTTTGACAGTAACTGAATGCAGATCTGGAACTGCAAGCTTCCCTATTCAGGAGCTATTTCAGCCTCCGGTAGCCCTGCCTAGTGGCCTTTCTGTTCCTCTTACTAACTTCAATGACAACCTACCTTTCCTAACAGACACACTTGCGTTTTAATTTATCTGCCAAAATAAATCACACATTATAGCATTTCTCTCTTCTGTGTTAATTGAATCAGGTCCTTAAATGTCTCTAAGTCTAATGATTTGAAAGAGGCACAATGTTTGAAATATTCAAAAAATTAGGGCCCTTGGGTTGTAGGCAGAATGATTGCTTATTTCAGATATAAGTGTTTCCTAATGATCTCATTCATCTCAAATACGATATGCTGGGCTACTTTATGTAAAATGTTTCCATGAAAACGATAGCAGGAAAGCTTAATGCATGGTATATTTATAGAGAAGTGGTATTTAATTTATTAACAAAAGCTTGTGCAGAGCTTTACATATTTCAACACAGAAATGTTTAATGAACCATTTTGGGCTCGTTATGAAAACTTCTATTAAATAACTTCGTTTATATTTTATTTAATGTGAATATTAACTTTTTATTTGGGACCTAAATACTCATTCAATCA